GCGTGTATTCCTCTCAGGGTATTACTGGAGGACTCTTCTATGGAGTTTTCGAATGTTTTGGTAGAACCGGGCGTGGCAACTCATTTCTTGAAAGGGTTGAATGAAAGGATGCCGCTGGACAGGAATCTTGAGTCAGGCTTCGTCCAGGAAGTCCTAGCAGAGCAATGGCAATCCACAACTCTAGTGAATGATAATGCTGTCCAAGACAGAGCTGCATCTGAGCATATCCAAGCCACTCACGCTCCCAACGACTCTAATGGTCAAGCTTAAAATTGCAACTTGGAATGTGAAGGGGCTCGGGGACACGGGGGGGAAAGAGGAAGGGGAAGAGGCTAAAGGCTTGGATTCATGAACAATCAGCAGATGTTGTTCTGCTGCAGGAGACGAAGCTTTCCGAGACAAAGCTATCGCAATTGGGCGATTGGTGGGATGTGCCGCAACTCTGGTCCCCAGCCAGAGGTTCGAGAGGTGGGTCTGCAATCCTGGTGCACAAGAGGTTGGAGGCTGAGTTGATCGACTACTACGTGGATCTTTGGGGGAGGTGGGTGTTGATTAAATTGTGGTGCGAGGACACCACATTTGTGGTAGCAACGGTTTATGCCCAAATGAGCCTAGGGACCGAATGCATTTCATGAGGGCAATTCCTTACTGTTTTCCACTGGAGGAACATATGGTATTTGGGGGGGATTGGAATCTGGTGAGCATCCTGGGCCTGGACTCAGAGGAGGTAGAGGGGATGAGGAACGACAGAGAGGCATTTCTGAGCTGGAAGGAAGCGTGGAACTTACAGGATATCTATAGAGATATGCATCCAAACGAGTCAGGTTATACCTGGTTTGCCAATACTCGGACTGCGGCAGGTGCCAAGCGACGACTGGACTTTTTTCTCACGAAAGGAGTGTTTTCAGACGGTGCACTATGGGTGGAAGAAACCAATGCCTCGATGTCGGATCATAAACCGGTGAGAATGGTAGTGCAACTGTCGGCGCTTGACAGAAGAGGCCCAGGCCACTTCAAGCTGAACTTGGAGGACGAAGGGTGGAGGCGCTGGGTATTATAGTTTTTGGTAGATTGGCAGTTATCGAAGGAAAACTTCCCGGATTTTCAGGACTGGTGGGATGCGGGCCTCCAAGTTATTTCCGCCAAGTTTGAGACATTCTCTAGAATAGCGGCTTTCCTGAGGAATAAGCAGGAAGCAGATTGCCACAAGAGGGTAGAAGAGGCTGAGAAGCAGATGGGCAAACACCCGATTTCTGACTGGGTGTGGGCCGAGAAGCGGAACCGGAGGCTTGAGGAGTGGGAACAGGTGCAGGTAGCAAAGCAGGGGAGGTGGGAAGAGATTTTCAAAGAAAAGGGGATTGTCCACAACGACAGGATGTCGAGGGAGGCATTTAGAAGGTTGCTCCTACAAGAGCGGATGGTACAGATGAGAGAATTGCACCACCCCCAACTACTAGGGAAACCGGTGGCAACGACTAACGAGGCGATGTGCGAATATGCAGTGGATTACTTTAAAGACATCCTAGCAACCAGGAAGACTTACTAGGACTAGGACAGACTTGACGACAGAAAGTGACTTATGGGACACTCTGCAGGTGAGGGTAGCAGTCCAAGATAAGTTGCTCTTGGATAGAACAATTTCAGCGGAAGAACTGCAACAGATGCTAAAGACTATGGCGAAGGGCAAAGCCCAAGGCGATGATGGACTGCCCGTGGAGTTCTTCAGTACCTGTTGGCGGGACTTGGAAGCAGACGTGGTTAAGCTATATAACGACATTCTGACAGGAGGAACATTGGGAAAATCTATGACTAGGAGAGTGATTTCTCTGATGTACAAGAAGGGGGACAAGAGCGATGTGAGGAATAGGACAACTTGAACGTCGCCGTGATTTTAATCAACTTGGAGAAAGCCTATGATCGAGTCAACTGGACTTTCGTCATGACCACCTTAAAAGTCATGGGCTTTGGCACGTCATTCTGTCGCTAGGTCAAAGTGTTGTATGCATTATCGACGGCGACAGTACAAGTCAATGGGGTATCCTCAGAGTCTTTCCAACTATCCCGCTCGCTCCGTCACGGTTGCCCGCTGGCTCCACTGTTATTTGTGTTGCAGCTGGAGTCTCTCCTGGGTGCAATGAGAGTTAGTCAAGCGATCAGAGGTCTGCAGCTCCCGGGGGGAGGGGAATGTCGGGTGAAAGTGCTTGCCGACGACCTTCTCGCCCTTTCCTCAAACTCTGTAGATTCCTTGGAAGCCTTGACATACTGCCTCCAGAGGTATGTCGAACTTCGGAAGCCGCTATTAATTGGAATAAGTTGTTTCTTTTCCTGCATGAAGAGCACCGACCGCAGGTTCATTGGGGTATGCAGCGAGTGCCAAAGGGAGAGGCACAAAGATTTCTGGGTGTTATGATCTCATTGGGAAACTCCATCTCCTTGCAGGAACTGATTTTGCGCGAGAGAGTGTCATCACGAATTAAGAGTTGGGGTCGAGGTCCCCATTTGTCCCTGATGGGAAGGGCATTAGCAATAACTGTCTCTGCCTTTTCCCTCCTGTGGTATGTCCTACGCACGCTCAAGCTGTCAGAATCCACACTGAAAGCAATTCGGGCAGAGGCACGACGCTTCCTGTGGAAACCAGGGCCGAAAGAGGACCAAGGCTACATTGCGAAGGTCGCCTGGGAGGTAATCTGTGCTCCAAGAGAAGATGAAGGGTTGGCAATCTGTGATCAAGGAACGCAAAACCTAACGCAACTCGCAAGCTGGCTGATCAAGGTGGTGGAAGCGCAAGACCCGCCGGACTGGTGCCAGATGATAGAGTACATTCTAATGAGGGAATGGGGACTAAGTCGCCCATCGGATGTCTGGGTGGCAGTGATGATGAAAACATTTCTCAACAAGCGCTTGAACTCAGCCTTCTGGAGCAACGTGTTGCAAGCCTGGAGACAAGTTAAACCAAACGTGAGAGAGGAGCCCAACTCAAAAGAGGAAGTGAAGGCACAACCCTTGTTTGAGAACTACTTGGTTAAAGGCTGAGACGGCTGTGCATTCTCAACAAGTGTATCCCCTGGGGCATTTGGGCAGAAATGGGTCCATAGAGGGGTGGCGACGGTAGAAGATCTTTGGGACGAGACTACAAATCAGTGGTGCCCTCCTGATCAATTAAAGAAGAAATTGGGCAGACTCTCGGCCGAAGCAGAAAGGAAGGATTTGTTAATCCAGGTAATTCCTACGAATTGGAAGAGGTTGTTGGGGTCGGAGGGGATCAACTCCCCGGGCACATGGTTTCGCGGGACACACGGAGAGGAGGAAGGGAAGTTCTTCCGGCTGCTCTGTTGGGATGAGGAGGAGAATGGGAAATGCCGACTGGAAGAGTTCTCGAGAGAAGCCCCAACCTCTACGGCCTTAGTACAGTCTGGTACAACAGTCCGTAGAGGTTTGGGTAGCCTTCAAGAGATCAGGGTTAGAACCAGCCATCCGTCCAGCAGACAGGGTCAGCCGGTAATTAGCGTTGTAGCAGGAGGAACCCCTACGAGCTCCTAAAGGATTGATCCACTTATGTGGGGGTGGGAGGTGAAGGGAGAGGTGATCAAAGACCTGTGTAAGTTGGGTATAGTGAGAGCTGCTCAGACTCCGAGGAAGCGGGGGAGAATGCTAGACAAGCTAACCCCCAGGTGGGAGCGGTCTCAACCATCTGTACCGGTTCCTTCAGAGGAACAACTGGTGCGTCTATGGAGACAGTTGGCGGGTCTGTCATCACAGAAGATAGCTTCTCTTCTATGGCTGCAGTCACATCTGGCAGTCCCTACAGCCAGGTGGCTAAATCAGAGGGGTATCCAGGTCCGTCTGGAGTGTGACATGTGTGACTGGCCGGTAGAGTCTATGACCCATATGTGGTGGGACTGCCCACGTTCCAAGAAATGGTGGCTCTGGTGGTTTGCGCACTGGGAACAGATGTCTGGAAGGAAATTCGCGCATGATATGGCGTGGGTCCTCCGAGGCTTTTTGCCCCACGGGGAATCGGCTGATTCAGGATGGGGCTATATGGCCCAAGTGGCTAGGGCCGTGATGATGTGGGTCATTTGGCTGGACAGGAACGAACGGAGATTCCAAACCCGTGAACTCTCTGAACAGCAGGCAGAGAAACTCTTCAGGTCACTGCTGAAGTTGGAGATCAGAGCAGACTGGAGGCGGAAAGTGTTGCAAGGTGCTGGTTTGGTCGGGAGACGCTGGTTCGAGGTAACCTGGGCGAGACCAGGGGCGTTAGCTAAGATAGTAGATGGCAAGCTGCATATTTCCCCTTGGTTAGAAGGCTAAGAGGTGGGGTAGGTACGGATAGATGAGGGGGTTAGTTGGGAGGTTAGTGGGATTAGGGAGGCAACCTGGTCACTCGGTTGCGCTGAAGAGGGAGGTCGCGGTAGACAGAGCTGGACTTAAGAGTGGCGTTACATGGAACGGGGTTCCACCGACCGCTTTAGGCCGGGTTCAGGTCGGGTTAGACCTGGTTAGTTTTAGGATACAGTAGGGGGGGGGGGAGTGATGGGAACTGGGGTCCTTCCACGGTTTGGCGTATTGGGGTAGTAGGGCAGCATGGGGGTTAGGGGTGTTAGGTAATGTTGGGCTTCTCAGAGGATTGATGATGTTTACGTGGTTTGACTAAGCTAAACCGGCTGATGCTGCCGGGACAACACCGGGTGGAATTGTGAGCTCCCCGGTCTCGATTCATGAATTGGTAATAAAGGTTGATTCTGATAAAAAAAAAGAAAAAAGAAAAAAAAAGAAGGTCCATAAAACTAAAAAACTTGAAAAAACACCCGCGTAATGACTCCGCTCTGTCACGAAAAGGACGCCAGCCCCGAAATATGAAACCCATACAGCACCGGCACATCGCAGGCTACACAGTCCTCTTTCTTCCTTCGGTCCACGCGATCGCCCCTCCCCCCCTTGCTTGCACTACCTACCGCGCCCAGCGCGGTCTATGAATGCCGGTAGAGATACTGTAGGCCGTGCATGCCTGACCTGGGTACACACATGCATACTCTCATGAATGACTTCCTGGAGCTGAAAGCCATAGCTGAAGTTTCCGCGAATTGAGCTGAGTGCACACATCTCAGCCTGTTGAACACACAGTGAACGACGCTTTGACCGTCGTGAGAGGGCAATGGCGAGTCTGCTGACAACGGCAAGTTGGCCCCCGACCTTGGAGTCATGGAAGCTAGCGCTGGAGTCACTTTTTTTGAATATCATTACCGATGGTAAGTTCGCATAAGGGGGGTGCTAATTGCACCCTTCACTTCACCTTCACCCTTCGCCAATACCGATCTCGTTTTCTGCACGCCGATCTCGTTTTCTTCACGTTTCATAATCTCTTTTTTTTAGGCATAAGGGGGGGGGGTGCTAATTGCACCATTCACCCTTCGCCAATCGTTTTCTTCACGCCGATCGTTTTCTTCACGTTTCATAATCTCTCTTTTTTTAAGGCATAAGAGGGGGGGGTGCTAATTGCGGGGGGGGGGGGTGCGAATTGCACCATTCCCCATTTT